TAGCGCTGATTATTTGAATCAACCATGATGGATCAGTCCAAATAAGTCCAAAAATCTTAAGACAAGACTTGAAAGTTTAAAAAATTTCTTTACTTCAAGCATGAAGATGCCAAAGCTCTTGAAGAAAAACTTTTTATATAGTTTTATATCTTATATTTGTTTCTTTTAATGGCCAACGTTAACAAATATTAATTAAATTTAACAGAAAAATTCATAGATATTCTTGCATCTTTGTTTACAGGTGCTTCTCCAAAAAAAGTTGTTAGGAATTTTAACCCAATTTTAAAGGTGAGAGTTTAGAAATTTTTTTTCACTTGAAAATTTAAAAAACTAATATAATAAGTTAAAATATAAAAAAAAGTAAATTAATAAAATTAACTGAAATGCAATACCCTGTGAAATATTAAGCTTTTGCAGGTGAGATGGTCAGACTCAGAATAAATCCGTCTATTGCAAATTGCAATCGCAGTGCTGAAACGCTGATGCGAGACTGGCACAAGTTATTAATGCACGTTGTTGTAATTAATTGTGTGTAATTCTTCCTTGGTTTTCGGGATCCTTTTTCTTGCTGCAACTGCCAACGGCGAATCATCCCGACGGATAATGGGACAGTAAGACGGCGAAGAGAAGAGCATAAGGAGCAGAGGTTGAACGTAAAACGGACGGTCCGACTGAATCCATTTCCAACGGAGCTGCGAATAATGAACGACACCACGACGATGGAGAACAGCGTACTGAACATAAAGTGAACACAACGAGCTGACCTGTGCGGGAGCAAAACAGGTCTTGGTGTTAAGGGTACAGAAGGTGAAAGGTCTGATGATTTTCCTTCTTTATACTGAAAAACCGAGAAATTTAGTGTTGTGTGTGTGTTACGAAGGAGAGAAAATGAAAGATGAGTATACATTTGGCGGGGCATTAAAGGTTGCGTATTGCTTTGCAGAGTAAATTTAAAATTTATGATTTCGTAAGACTCAAAAATATGGTCTTGCTATGGAATTAAAATGTTGGGATGGTATTATGGTATTAAACATTGGGTATTTTTCGGTGGCCAGAGACAAAGCTCGCGTTTTTTGTCCCCTTCCCATCTCTTGCATTTTGAGGCAAACTTGTGAGTCTCATTTCTTCACTCCAACGAGAGGTGGTTGCTTTGAGGGTTTCTTTCATATATGCTTCCAATTTTTCATATCCTTTCTTGTCCACTGTTCTAAGGTTTCATTTTGTTTCACGTCTTTTTTCTGGTCTTTTGAAAATTTGTTTTGATCCTTTTAGTTTCTCTCCTAAGGGCTTAACTATGATTGTTCTGGTGTACACACGCACACACCCACACTTCCACACTTCCACAACCGCTCCTTCTGCTTTGCAAAATATAATTTGACATTAGGAAAATTTTTATAAACAAATTATTTTACTACTCTTTTTTCCTTGGACTTAATCTAGCCGGTACAGTTCTCTATTTCTCTTGACTTGTGTATTTATTTATTTATTTTAAATTTGTTCTTGTTGCTTTTGTATGGGTACCTGGTGCTCATCTCTCTCGGGATGAGTACGGAAACTGGATGGCAGGCGCCTCTTGGGCGTAATCTTTGGTGCTGCATTTTATATAAGAGACAAGGATAGCTAGAGTAGGGGAAAACAGAGACAAAGAGACAGGGCGAAGGACATTGAGAGTGATTAAGGGAAATTGGAGTTGATCTACCATGTCATTCTTGTAATTTTCGTTTACTTTGTTTGTGTTTTTATTTCGGACATCTAAATGGGTAATGTCGTAAGTATTCCTCTTCCTTAGTAGTTATTGAGATGGTTGTATTTAAGTCTTGAGACTTTCATGTGAGACTTGGTTTATATGATTTTTTCAGATTCTGTAATATATGTATTTCCATTAAATTTCTTTTGGGCATTCCGCAAACTTATATTCCTTGATTATGGATTTTGAATCTACAACTTTTAACCTTTCCTTTTAATAAAGCTCTGGCTAATCCAAAGAATGATTTAGGTGAAGAGAAATTAATTTGCTCCTTCTTGGATTGAGGGCCTTGGCCCTGTTGAAATTTTTTTGAAGCATGTGAAACTTTGCGGGTGCCACTGTAGTAGGAGCATGCATGCATGGTTGTCTTAGAGAGAGAGCGGGTAGTCTATATGCTTTTGATCACTTCATATGCATTTTCAAAAAGTAATCTTGTGTTATTTTGAACTTTTGATCTCTCTCTCTCTGGTTTTTTTTTGGTAATCGAACTTTTGATCATGTTATGTGTGTGTATAACTGTATATAATGTAATGACCCAAGAATTTTTAGGGAAATAAAAATTTTATCTGCAATGTATACAACAACAATCAACCTTATCCCATTAAATGAGGTCAGCTACATAGGTTATATGATGGCATTATGCTACATCATTTATTAAATTTCTAGGAATATTATTAATTAAAAGGTCTCACTCAACAATCTCCAAAAGTATTCTTTTTGGTCTTTATCTACCCTTTTCAACAAGGCTCAAAGTTATCTGTTCCACTCTCTTCACAGGTGCCTTCCATGGGATTCTTTGTACATGTCCAAACCACCTCAAATGATTTTCTACCTTTTTTTCTTTGATAGGTGTCACACTCACTTTTTCTCGTATTCGCTCATTTTGAATTTTGTCTTTATAGGTATATCCACACATCCATCTCAACATTCTCGTCTCTGCTACTCCAACTTTATGCTCTTGCTGTCCCGTCAAAGCTTAATATTCACTACCATATAAAATTGTTAGTTTTATGGCAGTACGATAAAACTTTCCTTTAAACTTATCAGGTACCTTACGATTGCAAATAACTCCTTTAGCTGTTCTTCAATTAAACCCCCCCGCTTGTATCTTATGTGTAATATCTCCATCAATGTCTCCATTTCGTTAAATAATTACTCCCAAATATCTTAACTTTTTCACTTGAGGTATGGTTTGATCACTCAATTTTACTTTCAAGTTATTACTCGCTAACCCCTTATCAAAATTATAATGTAAATATTCTGTATTACTCTTATTTAGACGAAAACCTTTTGACTTCAATATCTTCCTCCATAACTCAAGTTTACAATTTATTTCTTCTCTTGTATCTGCAATAAGAACTATATCATTCACAAAAAGCATGTATTTAGAAATTTTCTCTTGAATATGTTCATTCAAAATATCTAACACTAAATTAAACAAATAGGGACTCAAAGATAATCTTTGATGCAATCAAATCTTTATAAAAAATCTTTTGTTTCAACACCAAGCGTTCTTATACTAGTAGTTGCCCCTTCATACATATCTTGTATAGCTCGAATATAGGCAACCCAGACACTTTTCTTTTTCAAAGCCTCTAAAGTACTTCTCTCAGTACACGATTCTAAGCTTTTTTCAAATCAATGAAAACCATATGTAAATCTTTGCCTTTACATCGATACTTTTTATTAATCTCCTTAGTAGATAAATCACTTCTATAGTCGCTCTTCCTAACATGAAGCTAAACTGATTCTCCAAAATTCCAATTTCCAATCTCAATCTATGCTCAATCACTCTTTCCCATAATTTCATAGTATGACTCATAAGTTTAATCTCAATCTATGCTCAATCACTCTTTCCCATAATTTCATAGTATGACTCATAAGTTTAATTTCTCTGTAGTTAGTACAATTCTAAATATATCCTTTATTTTTATAAGTAGGAACTAAGATGCTTCTCCTCCAATCGTCCGGCATCTTCTTGGATTGTAAGATCTCATTAAATAATTTAGTTAACCATTGCACTCCTTCTTCACTCAAACATGTTCACATTTCAATAGGGATACAATTAGGTCCATTGACTTTACCATTTGTCATTTTTTTAAGAGCTTCTCTCACTTACCAAGCTCGTATTCTTAGATAAAAAGATAAAATTTTGCACTCTTTTAGAAATTACTAAATCTTCTAAGTTAATTGACGACCCCCATCATCATTAAAAAGCTTAGAAAAATATGTCTCTCATTTGTCTTTAATATCATTATCTGTGACCAAAATATTTCTCTCTTCATCCTTTATACACCTTACTTATTTCAAATCTCTTGATTTTCTTTCCTTACTCTTAGCAATCTTATAAATTTTTCATTCTACATCCTTTGTCCCAAGACTATTATTAAACTCTTCGAATGCTTTAGAACGAGCTTCACTCTCGGTTCTCTTAATTTTCCTTTTAGCCATACAATACTTTTCTCAATTTTCATCATTATTGCACAAATGAATGACTTTAAAACACTCCTTCTTTTATTTGATTTTTTCTTGTGCGCTATTATATCAACACCAAAACTCTTTATCTCTTGGACTAAATCCCAAAGCTTCTTTTGCAACCTTCCTTACTTTCACAACCAAGTCTTCCCACAAGGTAACAGCACTTCCTCGACACTTCCAAATTCCTTTGGCCAAGAGATTTATCTGTAATGTATAAATAAGTAAATAAATAGAAATAAAGCCATTAACATTGAATGGATATAAAAGATAATTAGTTTTCTTTTAATTTCACCTTAGCATCTAATTATGAAAAAAACTATTTCACTACACCTTTTCTGCATTTTGACTTGATCCATCCGTGCTTTTGCTTGCACTCGTCTTTAGACTTGTTAACTTTTGTATGTTAAATCTGTTATTCGGGTTTTTTATGTCAGGATTGCCATTCAGATCATGGGTATACGTTCTTTGAAAAAGAAATACAGAAAGAGGAAAAGATACAATATGGAAGACATTAATGGTAGAGGTAGAAGCTGGAGTGAATTACCTGATAATGTTCTTGCACACATTCTTTCTTTTCTTCCAATGAAAGAGGCTGTGCAAACCAGTATACTATCCAAAAGATGGGAATACATATGGACATCCGTTCTTGAGCTTCACTTTTGTCGAGAAGATGATGAGCTATCAACGGATTTTGCGAATATTGTTGAAAGATCACTCTGATTTTGGGTATCATCCAACATAACTCGCTTTTTTCTCTCATGTGACATATTTGGCGATGGCTGAGATATTTTGGCTCAAGTAGAAGTATGGCTCTCTTCTGTTGTGAGATTTAATGTCCAAGATGCTGAACTTAGACTTTATGAATTTCATGAACCCTTGACTCTGCCTCTTAGCTTTGTCAATTGCAAAACTCTGACTAGTTTCTCTCTTTACATGCTCGAGACTCTTGAATTTCCTTCTCCAGTCTCCTTCTCCAATCTAAATATGTTGGAACTAGAACGTGTTGCATTTCCCAATGAGCATTCAACCCGAGAACTATTTTCTGGTTGCCCTGTACTTGAGGTTTTGAACCTAGAGAGATGTGATTGGAGAAATGTTAAAGCTGTTACTGTGGTATCTCCAAAGCTTCAATATTTCACCATGATCGAAGATGAAGAAGGAATTGCAAACAACTTTAATGGCTATCAGCTTGTGATTGTTGGTGATAGTTTAAAATACTTTCGTTATGAAGGGGAATTTCTATTTGATTTCAACATTATGAACTCTGAGCTACTGGAAATGGTTCATATCAACATTTATTCAGCTAAGAATAGTCCACAGCCTGTCATCTATCACTTCTTATCACTTCTAAGATACATAACTGAGGTTCCAGATCTGAAGCTTTTTAGTGCCTTGGTATATTGTTACCTTCTTTTTTTTAAAAAAAAAAATGTATTGCCTTCAGTGTGTAGCATTGAACTTTTCTTTTTAATTGCACACTGATTTCATTTTTCCTTTTTCAGGGCCTTCTTGACATGCCAAAACTATTGATTCATATGCCCACAGTTGTTGGTGCGGGGTATCTGGCGTTGGATTACAAATAATCTGATCTTTCAAACAGAGGCTTGTCAAAGATGCTCCAAAACATTCCTTTCCTTGAATCCCTTGTGTTTTTAGAGGTAATTTCACATCCATGTAATTCATCATGTGTGCTTTGTGGCTCCTTAATTACAGCAACAGAGGCAAACATTTGAATTTATTATTGAAAAGGGAATAAAGATGCCCTCAGATCCAACTGAGCACGAAATATTGGACCCTGTGCCTCGATGTTTCTTCAAGCATTTGAAGAACATTTTTCTAGGTATAATGCATGGAGATGCCAAGGATATGATGGGAGTGAAGGTTTCAGTAAAAAATGCAAAGGTCTTGGTAGAGAAGGCAATTAAGTTTGGAAGGACTGTCAATGAAGACATAAAAAAACAAGTTCTGCATGGAATTACTGAAGCTGCCCGGAAGTTCAAGAGATAGTGGCATATATATCGAGTAACAATGGATTTGGGTTTTAGTTCTTATGGTGAAGCTATAATAGGTTTTTCTTGGTGTAGTTTTTCATGAGGTAGTACAAGCTGGTCGCATTAGCTTTTGGGATAGATTTTATTTTGATCAAATTGCTGTTTATGGGATTACAATAGTCAGGAAAGTTGTAATGCAATGTCAAATCAAGGTGTACGAGAACTGCACCTTCTTGTATGAAAAATATATACACTTCATGCAAGTTTTCAAATGCTTGTTGCATCAACAATTGCCACGAAAAAGAAAAAAAAAATCATCCAAAGATGTTAGTAAACATTATATGTGTTCTGGACATTTGGTTGACAATAATTAAATACTAGCGAGGAAAGAAATTAGTGACGGACATTTGATTGACAGAGCAGAGTGTAGAATTACTGGTGTGTTGACTGGGACCTGATTCATTTCTCATTCGACCATGCATGGAGAATGCTGGTTCTCTAGGATACGGCAATGCAATTGAATCATTATTAAGATATGAAACAACTGTGGCTATTGGAGGCCTCTCATCTGGATTTTCTTGAACACATAACAAACCAATATGGATGCATCTAATTACTTCACTTTGTGAACCAACTTCTGCCACACTTGAATCCATAATCTCCAACAAGTTTTCATCCTTCCATTGCTTCGAAACCTACACCAATTACGTTTCATTAAATATCAGAAACATTACGCTTCTGCATTAGGTCTTACGTTGTCCAAGATTTGAGATGATGGTTTTGAGCAACATTGATGGAAGACAAAGAAAATCAATACTTACATAATCTAGGAGGCCATAAACATGTTGAGCTTCATAACTAGTGGCATTCTTCTTGCCGCTAATGATTTCCAAGACTATAACACCAAAACTAAAAATATCTAACTTTTTAGAAAATTGTCCAAACATTATATATTCAGGAGGCATATAACCATTGCAAGAAAAAAAAAAAAAAGGAACATTAATCAAATTACATAATGGAGAATTTTAATAATTCATCAGCTAAATACATGCATATTGAGCAAAAGATTAATGCTTTGTCTTAATTATCCATGAATACAATAAATTAGTAACTTACAATGTTCCAACAACTCTATTTGTACTTCCTTGGATTTCATCTATACCAACAATTTTAGCCATACCAAAGTCAGATATTTTTGGATTCATGTTGTAATCCAATAAAATATTACTTGGTTTAAGATCACGATATATAATTTTGAGACGAGAATATTTGTGAAGATAAAGAATTTCTTGAGCAATTCCTTCAATAATCTTATATCGTGTTAGCCAATCTAATACGCTTTTCTTTTGAGTGCCTGTAGACAAAAATACATGTGAGGAGTCACATTTAAGAATAACCTGTACTGATATGGGATAATTACTTAATGCAAATTAGTAGACATCAGAACAACAAAATGCATGACAAATTAATTGCTTATAAAAAAAATGCATGACAAATTGTAGATTACAATTAAAAATTAATTTGATAATTGGTGAAAAAGAGACCTACCAAATAAAAAGTAATCCAGGCTCTTGTTAGGTACATATTCATAAATGAGTATTTTCTCTTGCTCTTCTAAACAAAATCCCAACAGTGTTACTAAATTTCTATGCTGAAGTTTGGCTATTAATAAGATTTCATTTTTGAATTCCAGTGCTCCTTGCCCAGATCTTCTTGAGAGTCTTTTGATAGCTATTTCTCGCCCATCAAAAAGAACTCCCTGAAAACATAATTCATCATATAAACAACGAGAAACAGCCATAATAGGTACACACACACACACACACAATGTTTGATCTTATTTGTTACCTTGTAAACTTCTCCAAATCCACCCTTCCCAATTCTGTTCTTTTGTGAGAAATTACTTGTGGCAGCTTCGATTGTGGCAAGATCGAATTGCAAATATTCTAGAGAGCTGCTTTCAATTCCAACTAAACCAATTTCCAAGTTTATAGCAAGTGTTAAAGAAGTTATTGCTTTTCTACCATTAATAAACATGGCTTCCCTCAACTTTATTGAACTTACAGTTTTCTCTGAGAACCGTCTTGTAATTCTTCCTCTTTCTTCTCCGAAAGAAGTAGCATACCAGACACAGCAGAATCCCCGAAAAACCAATAGGAACGACAATCACAATAATCTTTTTCACTTTAAATTGGCCATTTCGGTAATTTCCTGCATACTCGTATATCTACGTCTCTCAAACAGAATACCACAAAAAGTAACGATGATAGTTTACAGAGACACCAATTCATTAAATCAAATGAAGTTGACCGTACTGTGTGGACTAGTCTTGAGATCTTTCCACAGTAAAGATTGATTGTTTTGTACAGACAGGTGCTCGATCAGAAAGATATGAATATATGTTTTGTTATATGAAGTTATTAAATAGCGAGAGTTTGTAGTTCTCTGAGGCGAATCAGGCGATATTATACTGAAACCCCAGAGTAAATCGATAAACTCAACTTTGAAGAAATGAAAAAGGCCTCAGACGTAATTCATCTGGTTCTACCTACTTACAGAGTTACAGTATCGAAAGTTTTGCTTTGCATTGATGTGAGCAAGGAAATATCAGCAATTCATGAATATGTATATGAATAGACACATACCTGAAGGTGAAGGAGGAGGCAGTATCGGTGTGGTTGGTGTATCAAATCCATGAAGATCGTATTTAACACTACATTTCTGAAGCATGACCGATGCGTTCTTTTCCCCTCTACAGCAGGTCGGGAGAAATACCACGGCGTTTTGTAAACATTGAGAACATTGAGAAGCCGACATGTCTGCAACACACTGCACACTGGCCGAGAAGTTTTCCGATGATGATGGCGAGTTCACTACCGCGAAGTTATTCCGATTTGGGGAAATAGCTGTCGCGACCAAAGTATCTAACATACTCGGCAACACTTTATCCATCAGAGCTTGTTCGTCACTGTCCATGCTATTGTGCCACACGCTCACCAAAGGGCGGTCGCTGATGGATTGGTTCGAGTAACGAAGGAGACACTCGTCGTACCAGATTGTGGATTCTGTCTGGTTCGGGCACAGGCGTGTTATCTCTTTGGCTGCCGTGGCCACGCACTCTCGGCATACGGCGGGGATGGCTCCGTCGCGGCAGAAAAAAAATCCACTGACGCTGACGGAACCATTACCCTTGGTGCTGCTCGAAAAACCGCCGGAGGCGCTGGAGACGAGATTAGATAGAAGCAAGTCTAAATTTGCTTCGAATCTGCTGCTGTATTGGAAATGGTTTTCGTTTGTACAGTTTTTTACGAGGACAGGAACAGCTTCTCCTGATAAACACAGCAACCCCAAGACGGACACAAATATGATAAGGGCACCATTAGCAGAGGATTTGAAGACGAACAACATGTTCTCTCATGATTTTCACCACTGCAGCACAGATACTCTGGCATAGATATTGAGATACTGGAGGCAGGTCCATTTTGTTTCTCTTTTTTCCAGTCAACTCCCTGTTGAGACAATTCAACTCTTTGACCATTCTATAGCTATATTTTTAATTATCTACTTACATTGTAAAATGCATCAACATTATTGTAAAACAACAGTTCTTGCAAAGTGATGGGGCCCAGCTTTTTTAATTTTGTGCAAGTAAAGCGATGGCCCATTTTTTTTAAACAAATTTACCGGTCCAACCTCTTTGTGTTTTTTCACGATCATTTTTATTTTCTATAGTAATTTTTTAATTATTATATAATAAATAAAAATTAAAAGATTATAAATATTTTATAATAAAAAAGGTAGAAATGGGACTCACAGGAGAAATGAATGGTGAATATAGAATAAATATTAAAAAAATATTCCTTTCAAATCATAACATATGACATTTTTTAAAAGTCTTATTTAATTTAAAATTTGATAATTATTTTAATTATTTTTAACTATATCTCTACTTCATTTATTACGCTTTTTAAAAATAAATTATGCATTAAAATTTTAATTTTCATTATTAAGGCATTTATTTAAAGTATTTAATAAGGATAAGATTGGAAATATGTAAAAAAAATTAATAAATTAAGGTTTCAACTAAATTTTTTTAGAATCATAAAGTAATAACCAGTGCCATGTATTATGATCCAGACTCCAGAGGGAGTAATTTATAAGATACCTTTTTTACAAAATTATTCATATTAATAAATTTTATTAAATATACTTTACAATCTTATTGTTTTAAAACAAAAATATAAATTTTTAAAAATAACCTTAATTTAATATAACTTTACTTGTGAAACATAAATAGAGAATGAAATATAATAAAGAATGAACCCTTAGTTAAGTACAAAATCTTTGTTCTAATGTCACCTAAACCCTAGCCTATTTTTATATTATACTCTTCCTATTCAAAATATAAGGTATTTTTGATTAAATTTTATCTTTCAATAAAGTGGTTATTTGTTTTCAAATCAATACTATCTTTTCATATATACTCTTATTTAATAAGATGTTTCATTCTAAAATATAAAGTGATTTATTCATTAGGAATATTTTTGAAAAAAAAGGTAATGACTATATCTTAAAATACAAAAAATACCTTATATTTTTTAACATCCAACCCCTCAAATGTCTTATATTTTTTAATGGTGGAAGTAACTGAGAGTTAATATCCCGTGCATTGCACAAGTGTAAAAATCTAGTTTTAAGTATTTATAAACTATTTGACAGTTATATTTGCATGTGTGCACTCACAATTAAGGGTGTTCACTAGACAGGATGAGAGTGAGACTAAGACACCCATGTCTTATGTCTCATCTCAAAAAATTATTAGAACTAAGTTTTTATCTCGTGTCTCATCTCAAAAGTCATCTCATTAGGAATTGGGATGGGATTGAGATGAGATCAAGATGTCTCACTATTCTAATAAAGTGGACAATTTAGGAAAAAGACTTGAATAATAACATTCATTAATTAAAATTTTAAATCACTTAATTTATTAAGTTTAAAATTAAAACAACACGAGTATATAAATCATAACAATTATTAAATTACATCAATCACAACTACAAGTGTACAACTTAAAGTTAAGTATAAATGTGACCTAACATATTATGATAGCCATTACAAATGATCTTTAGGCTATAAGAGAAACAACAACAAATGAGCCCAGCACAACATCAAGTCATCATTTTTTTCTTTAATTGAAATATGTTAAGCTCGCGACTCTTCCAAAAATAAAGTAAGAAATACATTGTAAACAAAAGTTATTGAATAAGTAGATACAAGAATAAATTACATTAATATAATTAATATATTGTAAAGAAAGATATTATCTTGCTTACTCTATATCATTAAAATTATTAATATAAAAAATTTTAGTTTTAACAAAGAATAGCACGTATTGAAATTATAAGTAATATAAGTATAAATTATTTTAGTATAATTAATATATTTAACATATATTTTTAAAATAGAAAATAATATATATATACACTATTCAAGACGGAACGAGACAAGACCTATCTTAATATAATTAGAATGAAACCAGGCCAATCGGGACTAGCACAAATTGAACACCCCTACACACAGTATGTGTGTGTGTGGACTAAAGTACAAATCTACCTTGAATATTTTCAAGGAGGCATAGTTAGTATCCTTATGTTTTTAAAGACACAATGTCATCTTGACGTTTTTTTAAAATCACACAATCTTGCCCTACCGTTGTAACATCCTAGAAAATTAATCAGGATTTAGTTAAGTAAATGAGAGTAAATAAGTGAATTAATGTAGTGTGTGGCCAGAGAGGTCTAAGAAGTTTGTTTAATTATAATTTCAGCCCTAAATACAAGTTTCAAGTAGGGCTGCGCAACAAGCCTGAAAGCTCGACATGCCCGGTCCAGCCCGATGATTTTTTGCCCAACCTGTGCCCAAAAAAAACTACCCGAAAGCAAACAGGCATGGTCAGGCTATGCCCAAATCTCAGGCTGGGCAGGGTTTAAGGCTAAGTTATCCAACCAATCAACTCTGCCTAACTCGAGGGAATATATATATATATATATATATATATTATTTTTTAAATTAAAATGATGTAATTTTGAGGAAGCATTGGGTCATAATGGTAATTTTATCTTATTAGTTGGCAATAAAACGCTACGCATCCTTCCCCAGTCCTCACATTCACAATTGATAGCTTGTCTCCTTTCCTTTCCTTAATTGCCATCTCATTTCCTCCATAGCGCTACCCCCTCGTCTTACTTTGTTGGTCGTCGGCACTTGGTAGCGTTGCTTCTCCCTCCTTCAATTTTGTTCGCCATTCTTCCCTCTGTCGATTTCATTTGCCGTTCCTCCCTCCATTGCCTTTATCCACTGTGAGTGAGATTATGAGAACTTCACTTATTTAAAGAGCTTTATTATCATCTATCTCATGGTCTCAATGAGCTTCACCTATGAAATGTGAAGATGCAAATCCAAGCCATAGCTTCTACTTCTGAGGCTCTAGATCTCTTTAATGTTATTGATAATTGCTACTCATATAAAAAAGGTATTAACTTAACTTTCTCTCTGTCTCTTTGTTTTTCTGTCTTTCTCTAAAACTTGAAGAAGAAGAAGATGGTGATGATAAAAGTAGTATGGGTTATGACTTGTGGGTTGCTAGAATTTAATATCAAATTTGGGTGAGGATGTAGTATTGCAGTGCATGGGGGTTCAATTTTTGGGTGTTTCTTCACTCATTCTCAAAGAAATTTCATTAAATAAAAGCATAAAAATCAAACCTTCATTTTGGATAATGGCTAATGGCTAATAGAGCTATATGTTCATCTCGTTTATGCGTTATGGATGATGGATATAAAGTTTGCTTTTGATTCCATATTAAATTACGTTTGTTTAGATTTATTTTCAAGTTTTTGAATCTAAAATTGCTGTTTGATAATGTTTTTTTTTTGGGTCTAATTTGAGCCCAAAATGTTTAGATTAGCTATATTGTTGTTGGAGGCCTAAATTATATTCAAGTTCAATAAACAAGTTTTTACTTGTCCCAAAAAAATAAAGAGGATTAGACATTCAGCCCAATTTGCTTGATCTTTGCCCGACCCTGCCTACCCTATCCTAACATTAATGGGCATCTTTCGGGTAGGCTGAGCTTTGGGTAAGGTTTTTTTGCCCGAAGAGAATTAGAGTAGGGCAACGGGCTAAAGGTCAGCCCTACCCGACCCTGCCCATGCATAGGCCTAGTCTGAAGTAAAGTCAAGCCATTCAGGTATTAAAAGGTAAGAAAGAATTAAAGAAGGGACCTTTGTGTCACATACCGCAACATGAAGGACACCCCTTGCGATGCACATAGGAAATCAACTTGAACTAGGCCTATCTATGCCATATGTCGTGTCATGGGCTATGGACACCGTGGCACATGGCCAATTTTTTTGATATAGTAGTTGTGAGATAGACTAAAACCAAAGGAGAGAAAGAGGAGAAAATGAAAGGCACGAGGTTTTCTCTATTAGGGCATGGATTTGAGAATCATTAAAGATATTTTGAAGCTTCCTAACATCTAAAGTAAGTGTATTATGCTTTCTTCTCCCCTTTTCTTCCACTTTCATAAAGATTAAAGTTAGGGTTTGAGTTAGGAGAGTGATTTTGGTCCATATGACCTATGAGTTTGAATCTAATGGCTATAACATGAATAATGGAAATGAGTGAGAGTATTAAAATCTTAGATTTATAGTTTTATGAGTTGTTAGCTGTTAAAGGCCATTAATAATAAAAAATTTATATTTATGAAGATTGTTGGGAGTGTTTAATGGCTATTAATGGTGTTTTAGTGGTTCACTAGTGACAATGTGAGTTATTGAAACCTAGTAAACCTATTCGGTATGATTGAAAATAAGTTTATGATTGTAATGAAACGAAGAATGTGGAGTTGAATGTTAGAAAATTCTCAAGAGAGAATTCAATAAGTGCCCTTGTATTTTGTTGTAGATTACCTAATTTTTAACACCATTCAAGTTTGAGAAGAAGCTTTAGAAATTGGTATTTTGAAGGATGAACCTTTAACCTCTTAAAAGTTTAAGGTAACCGGGAAAAATTTAGTTTGTATAGTTATTTATTAATTAGTTATTTGTTGAATTTAATGATCTGAAACTTATTTAGTATTTGAAAACTATTAATGCAAATTTTGGCAAAGTAATGAATTACATGTGTGGTATTGTCTTGAATTTTAGAGAGTAATATGCATGTTTATATATATGTGACTAGGGATAATGATTGAGAGTGTGCTAGTATGTGATATTGGTATATGGAATATCGTAGAGAAAGAGAATTTTAGGAACATGTTATGATGTGGTTAATATGTGTTGCATGGATATAGCTTGTTATTTTTGTATAGCGTGATCATTGGCGGGAGTTTCATCTAAGAAGAGGAGTATATTGATAAATTCACAC